TACACAGACACACTATACAATTTTACATATAATTTTATATCTATAATTTAAATAATCTATTTCTCTCTCTATCTTTCTAGACAAAAGGAAACTTTTTCCTAAGGTTACACAGACCATGTATTCTGGTGCAAGGCAGAGAATGGAAAAGAAGCTTTCTAGAGTCTTCATCACACAATATCCTTTAACTAATGTTACTAGAATAACAAATGTTAGGTTACATGAAGAATTGAAGCACTCTCCACCCCCCAGCATTCATGTCTGGAAGTAGGTGCACTCGCAGAAATGTAGGTCAAGCTGAAATCCCTTTAAAAATTCAGCCTTTTCTGAAGAAAAAGTTGATAGTTATTGACAAAACGTTGTACTCTGCCTTGTTACTATTCATGATTAAGGAAAGTAAATATTGTCTGAGGCCTAATGAGAATTCCAATGCAATAAAGTCAAGTGTGAAAGGTGCAATCAATAAGTGATGATGCAACAGTATTCCTTTGTAGTTTTGTTATTGTTTTGTTCATGCTATTTGCTGATGCTTGAAAATGAAGTGTTAAGAAATTAGTGTTACAAGGATTAACATTCAGATTTTATTTCTGATATTGTTATGTTTCTACAGTCATTACACTCTGAACACTAATTAGCATCTGCTTTCTTTTCCCACTAGTTAAGGACTGCAAACCAAAGAATTATAGAACACAAATACTATGGAAACGAACATCAGTTTTTTCCATTAACATCCACAAATTAAACCCCATGATGTCCATGGTTAATTTTATACTGCAGGAATAAGTACTGCAATAAAGTACTGTATTTTCCTCATTTGTTGAGTTAGAAACTATGCTTCAAAGTATATGAAATTTATGAAGGGAGTGTATTTCCAAATGTGTAATAGATCTCAGAGTCCAAGCTGGGATGTTTATATTCTACATGATGTCATAGGTATCCACCAAGGGCTCAGTTTTGGATTTACAAGTCTTGAATATTAGGAAGCATATTGCTCCAGGAGACAGACAAGGACTACATCTCAGTTACTCAGTTTCTGCAAGGAAACCAATCTCTTCCAGTCGTTCATCAGACTGATTAATTCCTGTCTGGCTCAGCTGGATTGGCAGGCACATTGACATCGGTCTCTGCCACTGTGCCACAGCACAGGACACTGGTACCTTGTGTCAGAAATTGAAGGGATGATTTTCTCTCTTCCCTCCAGGCACATTGTACAAGTGACAATTTGTGCTGGACACATCATGTAGCCTGAAGATCCTGAGAATCAGTTTGAATATTCTTTGCAACTCTGTATTTTCTGAAGAACCCAGGTAAAAGTTTGGCTATGAAAACTTCAGCGGATTTTCACTGAATACATTTACAATTAACATCTTTATGTTTCTGAATATTCTGCTATATCAATTGCTCTGGCACCTTATTTTATCGAGTAAGATTTAGGTCATGAATGGAAAACAAGGGCTGGTTCTGTCCTAAAATAGCTGGTTACATGTCTGTGTTAAGGTGTCATGGCTTTTGAAGTCAGCTAGGAGTATTTGGCATTAATCCTATGCAAAGGGAAACTACAGGTCAAAGTAGACGCCTTCCAAAACTCCTGCTCATTGTGTATGGTAAAAGATCCCATGCATTTCACAAGGCAGCTCTACAGTTCTTCCTACACTGCTAAAAGCAGTAATTCCTTTGAAACTTTCTTTCTGCATCTTGTATTGTAACAACTTTACAAATTCACTAAGTAAATAGATAATGCAGTTAAATTAACTTCTATTTAAAGAACACAACCCATTCTGACCAAGAAGATTCTCTAATCCATGCACAATTTTTCTTACAAATAGTTTCAATGGAATTAGATAAAAATTAGCTGTAACACTGGAGAATGATATATCTGTTTTATATCATAGTTCTTGTTATCAAAATGTATTTTTTGCAGTGCCATGGAAATAACTCTTTCAGTCAAGTGAGATCTCTTGACCTATTGCAAATAAGACAGCAGTGCCTTTAACTTTTGGCAATGTCTTTGTTCATGTGTATTTAGAAACAGCTGAGTAAGAAACCTAGTTCTGCATGAACACAGTATAAAATGGCTCATACACGTACACAGCCAAAGGAAAGATAATTATAGGAAATAAAACATGATGTTTCAAATCAACTCCCTAAGAAAATCTAAAAATATAAGAAATCGTATCATATTAACCAGAAAGAACTGTTCTTTCACTTAAGGGATAGCTGGGCAATTATTCAAACCTGGACAAGACTGGATTGTCAAGTGAAATAATAATTCAGAGTTGCACAGGATAATGAGATAGATCTCAAGGCCATTAGCAGTGGTCCTTATTATAATACTGGCCAAGGTTCCCAAAGAAAGAGAGAGAATATTTGAATGAAACTTGTAGGGAACTAGTTTGAACTTGTATATTTGAACAGCTTAATACTGTCTCCTAGTTTCCATTCATTATTGGAGAGAAAGGTATCTACCATGTAAGACTGTGAAATCAGTCAGGCTTTCGAGACTGAAATCCCTGAGGGCAGAAACTAAAACATAAAATAATTGGATAATCAAGCCACATTGAAACTCAAGGAGTTTATATTAAGAATCTCATTCTAGTGAGATTTTAAGGTCTGGTTCAGCACCAGTTGTCTCCTCTTTCCTGATTGTTTCTCTCTCATTCAAAACAAGCAAATCCAACATATATCTTCTCTGACTTCAGGCGTGTCATGAAGAATTACAGCTTTAGAAGTAAGGACTTTTTAGGCTGGAAACAGAGGAAGGGATTACTTTATCTCTGTAAAATAGGTCCTGCTTATGAGACATTTGTATATGCATGCTTCATTCTGCTCTGCTTGTTTGCTTTTAACCACTATGGGAATAACTCAATAGCTGTGGTCACAGAGAAGCTCCCTAATCCCTGGAAAAACAGTTGTCTAGCCTGCAGTTTGTGAGGTACAGTATGGCTAATGTGTCAGCAATTGCCATGATTAGAAATACTGCTTGCTTCTCCTAGGTACAGGAATTTCCAAATACAGGAGCAGATCTAGGTCTGGCATGCCTGGCATTCTCCAGTGAAGAACTCTGCTCTGCACCTTAATGAACATCTCCCAGGCTGACTGGTCTCTGGGGTGCTCGGACTATTAGGCTAGACCGGGGTTTACAGCAGGTTAAGCAAGAAGGCTGACCAAGAATTTGTAAATCAAATATTAAAGACTGATTAAATATTTTACGATCTTTTTACTTAGGCTTTGATTTGAAGTTTACTTGATCTGCTAGCCAGAGATCTGCTGAAGGTTAATTGATGGAGGAAGAGTAAATAACAGCTCATGCTGCTGGCCCTAAGTATGCGAGGCATTTAGGAGTATTCCTAACCTCAAGTGTGCAGTCACTGACATGCTCATTTGTCTCACTAGGTTAGTGTCACTAGGGCTCAGATATGTGATCAAATTAGTGCCCTGAAAGTGGTTTAAGCTTATGTGTTTTCCCTTGTATTGTATATTTGCACATGTCTCCAGTGACACCAAGTAATCCTTTAAATTGCGTTAATTTGATCATGCATCTGAGTACCTAGTGCAGAAAACTGGGATAGGTGGCTAAGGAAAGTGGAGATGATGTCTCTTAGAAGACAAATAGCTCCTATGGAGGAGAGAGACATCCAGCAGAACTCAGTCTACCAGGACAGAGTATAAATCTCTCCCCTTTTTCCTTCTACAAAATCAATGGTTTGTAACTTATAAATGTGACCTGACAAATTGCTTTTGTGGACTTTGGGCTTTTTTCTTCTTTTTTAAAGGGAAAGAATTAACAATACTTTTATAATTGTTGGTTAATTTTTGGCTATCCAACTGGGCCAGGGTCATTTAAGGCCCATTTAGAGAGAGTTCAAAGAAAAATTCAGAAGCTCATCATCCAGCAAGAGCCCTCACCACAGAGGTTTGGAGTTGGAAACTTAAAAGCAATCTGAATATCTGGTTTTACAAACGTACTGCTGAGATTGTATCTGAGCTTCTTTTTAAGGGAACTTTGGTAAGGGTTTATACATCCCAAAGTACAATTTATGTAAAGAGAAGGAAGAGTTATTGGACTAATCATTTTTAATAAAGATTCCTTGTCTTTAATTCAGAGCTACACAACAGAACTTAATAGCTTGTGGCAAATAAATAATTTACACATGGATTGTGTCTGAATAGAAATGCATACATAAAATATCACAGACTTAATGAAGGTGCTGTTTTTTACAAAATCAATTTAATTGATTTTGCTGATAGGTCTGCATTAATATTTTTGTAAGCTCCATTTTGCTTTACCTGTAAATGTGGCCCAGTTGTGATTCGTAAGGGAGGAAGGGGAAACTCTCCAAATGCAATTAGACACTTGGAACACACAGCGCTGGTAGTTTTGAAGTGTCTGGGGTAAGACACTCGGAAATAACACTCCACTGTGACCTAGTAGAGGGGCTCATTTACAAAGTACTCCTCAGAAAAGGTCAGCCTCTCAGAACGCTCATGACGATTCAGTCGTGTGTTTTGCAGCATTTGAGCCCAATGAAGCTGGTAATGAAGAGTCTTCCCCTTAAAGCTGAACATGTTGGGGTGTTCAGCTGCATTCAGCTTTGCCTTGTGTTTGGCCCGAGCTCGTACCAGAGTGGGGAGAAGACAAGAGCTGAAGAAGGAGGTCATTGTTGTGACAGAGGCACAACTGCAGCCAGGGGAACAGGGGTTGGATGGAAACATGGGATATTTCACAGGGAGAGGCATGGGATGATGGCTGCTTTACTCTTGGGAACACCAGCTTATCTGATGGGCCTGAAAGCTGTTTTCCACTACTTTTCGCCCACAGCCTGTCGTACCTCCTGTTAACACGCTGCTTTTTGTCGTCAGTAACTCACAAAAGCTCTGCATTTTAGAAAAGCGCGTAGGCAGCCGCCGTAGCTGGCGGGCCCACAGAGAGCGGCAGGGATGCCGAGGGTCAGCGCCGCCCGCCCCCGCTGCGCGCCCGAGGGGGCCGAGCTGGCCCGCCTTACCTTTGGGGTGCCAGGGGTCCGTGAACTCGTACTTCCCCACGCCGATCGTCCGTAGCATCTGCACCCCGTTGGTGTTGTCCGGGCCGCCCACCGCGGCCGCGTTGGGGGGCAGCGGGGCGGCCGCCTGCCCGTTGGTGGCGGGCGCGCTGCTGGGCAGGGCGGCCGAGGGCAGGGCTGGAGGCGGCGGCGGCAGCATAGGGCAGGCCAGGTGGCCATTGCCCACCGCGCCGGGGCCTGGGTGGGCCACTGGGCCCACGCCGCTCATGGAGGACATGCTGAGGGGCTGGCTGTTGGTGTACAAGGGCTGGCTCTGGAGGTTGACCACCATGTTGCTGAGGGGCTGGGAGGGCTGCGGCTGGAGCTGGTAGTGGCCTGGCATCAGTGGGAGCTGGGGGGTGACGTGCGGCGGGAGGGAGGGCGTGACGCCGATGACGGGGGCCTGCACGTTGGCGGCTGGGCTGAAGGTGGGCGGCTGGGTCATCCCGTAGGAGTGCGTGATGAGGGCGGGCTGGCTGCCCGCTGCCACCGTGGTGACCCAGGGTGCTGCACCTGTGGCATGAAGGAAGGCGAGCAATGGAGGTGGGCTCGGCATGGGAGAGAACAGACACCAAAACCCTCATCCTTCCCCTCCCGCACCCGTGGACGGCACCGACACGCCCCGCTGCACAATACCTAATGCAGTTTGGGATCTGGAGCTGTTCCCAGGCAGTAAGTGCATAAAATTGCTGCAGCGATGTGAGCACAATTGTTAAAATACTCGTCAGGTGACATGCGGCATGTTTGCGGTTTTATGTATTTTGTACTTTATGCAGCTTAAGCACGCGCTTCCAAGAAAATTAACCTCTTTCCCTGCTGTGCTTTCACGGCTCCCTGACAAACACTCTGTGTGTATAATAATGGTGCTCCAGCCACTACAAAGACATTGTAATTAGGCGGCTGGCATAGTAGCACAATGTATGATATGTGTCTGGAAACTGGAAATCATTTCAGGTAGTTCTGGACATAAAAGAAGTCTTAAAGTATTACAGAGTGCCTTTCCCTCCAGTGAAGAGAAAGAATGATAAAAAAAACCCCCACTCTAATGAACTTGCAGCATCTTAACACATTTGTGTCAGCCCCAGCATAGAAGAAACTTGAGGGGTCTTTACAATGAGGGAAAACCCCTGCTAAAGAATAAAGAAAGGGCTCACAATGAAGTCTAATTTACAGAGGTAAATGGAGATAGTGCATTGAATTTGCTTTGAACGATTTCCCCTGGTAGAATTACAAATAAGATTAGAGACATACCTGGGTTTTCATTCTCCCTCATCTGTTTAGATGGAGGCTCATCAGTGTCCCAGGGCGTGGACTGATTGATGGGTGTCTGTCCCCACCTGACGCTTGTTGCAAGTCCTTGAGGCTGATTTTCAGTCTTGGAAATGCAAGGTGTCTACCAGAGAGAAAGAAAAATACAGAATAAAAATGTTTTGACTATTTGGATTAATTATGGTTCCTCATAACTAGTAGCTTGCTTGTTTGTTACCGTCCAAGAGGATAACCTAAGATCTTTAAATATCATTCATTTGGGGGTTGGACTACATGATCTCCAGAGGTCCCTTCCAACCCTAACAGTTCTGTGATTCTGTGATTGTCCTCCTGGCTTGCATGAGATGTCTGTATGGAAATACAATATATTTTAAAAAAAATGCTTCTGGTAATTTAAAAGATCTACCTTAAAAAATCCACAACAAACCAGTATTTTCAGAAGTAAGTCACATCAATTGCCACAAAAAAATCCCCAAAAAACCAACAAACAACCCAGGTATGGTAATATCTACTCAGTGGCAGCTACATAAAATGGAACAATCTTCTGTTTGCTCAATTTCTTCCAAAAATAGTGAGTTTTTTTTAGCAGGAGGCAGAACAAGAGAGACTTATTTACAACTGTAGGACAAATTACTGCAGAACAGTAAAGAGAAGTCTTCGTATTTACTGTCTGTCAACCCTTGAAATTGAATGCCAATAAAAAAAAGCATAACATCACTGGCTGCTAAAGTGGGTATGTTGGCAGGTCTTCAGAGAGGTTAAAATAACTGTAAAGGATGGGAAGGATTTGGGCTGAATAATCATCAAAGCAGACATGATCTGAAAGAGATCTCTTGATGAAGAAACTATCACATGGATTTAAATGCTACACCAGACCCCTGCTGCAATTTTAGGGAACCTTCCCAAACAATCATGCCTTTGCTGAGAAAAGACTTGTAGAAAACAAGGGTGCTCCAACAGGTCTCATTTATTTAATCTGCTGTGTATTTCATTGCTGGAAGATTAAAAGTTTTTTATTTTGTTCTGTTTTTACTGGTGTCAGAACCTCTAAACCAAGCAAACGGAACCAGCTGCCTATTGCTAAATGAGTATTGAAGAGTGAAGCCATAAAGAACAGGAGACCAGTCTGAGTGATTGTTTGTTTGCCTCACGTCTGGGAAGTAATTTAGCTCAGAGATGGGGGTACAGCAGCTCCATAAATGCCCTGGGTCACACTGTACCAATGAAATCTCTGTCAACACCAGCAGCCTGTTCACCCATCACCAGTACCTCAATCAACCCATAGAAAGGAAGTTATTAGCAAACCCATTTATGCCCTCTGCAAATACAGCCACACCTTCCCCAAGCGAATCTGTCATTCCTCCTGTCTCCAAATCCCCCAGAGGCAGCTCCTTCCTCCTGCCTGCCCTTCTTCCCCACCAGCACCCCCACAAGCACCTGCCCTGCTCCAGTGTTCCCCCCTTCACTCAAGAGCCTCTGATCTCTCCTGACACTCACTCCCTTTTCTACCTGAGCTTTATCCTTGGTGGGCTCCTGGAGTCAGGAGCTGTGTGTGCAAACCTTGACAGAGGACATAGGTTTTGCTGTGCTGCCCTCTGCTCCCAGAAGCCACAGTGGGAATATTTCCCCCACTAGAAATGTTATACTTAGTCAAATGCAGAGGTTCACAGGGAAGTGTGATTCTTAAAATATTTTTTCCTGCAATTGTTTTTTTTCAAAACTCATCAATTTATTCTTTCCCATAGTTTAGGGGGTTGTGGTTTTTGGTTTTTTTAATGTAATTTCTCTGGACTTTTTTGCTATTTTATTTGCACCAAAGACAATGATATTCTGGTTTTAGATTCACATTTACTTCTGTCCCCACCATTTTGACTACCTCTATATCTTTTGCAATTGAAATAAAAATTAGTCAGAAAAGACATAAAGAGAAGACATGCAGACAGTCAAGAGCTGTAAGACCTCTGGTCTATTCATTGTGAAGAAAGGGCAGGAGGGGAAGAAATAAGTCTTAGTATTGAAATGCTTTCTTTTTATAAATTGTCCTGCGAAAATGATTAACCTGAATACCTTTAGCTTTTACATTGTACAAGGTCTTTGACACAAGAGGATATAACACTTCTGGTGGTTTACCAGTTCATGTTAGCAGTATCCCTTTGGGTCTAGCTAAGCTGTTTAGCCAAAGCACTCTGCAGTAGAAAAATAAATAAAAAAAAGACCCATCACCGTTTTCTGCCTCTGTATCAGCTAAAATATTTCCCCCAGAAATGCCAATACTTATTGCAAAGCAAAGCTTTAAAAAATGTAAATGCAATATAGAGAAATGGGCATCTGTGTGTTCCACATGTGGCACCTGTGTGTTGCATTTCTTTGTTGTATATACCAGGTCTTACCAGTGGTTTTGAAATACACACTTATCATTATTCTGAGGCATTGTCAAGACAGGCAGCATCTTGTTTAACTTTGTTACATTCCCAAGCTGCTTTAAAATGGTGTTGATATAAGAAAAAAAAATTTCTCTACCTTAAAAAATACAGAATGACAATACACAATTTTAAAAGAACCTGTATATTTTGTCCAGAATGGGTAAAGAAGGAAGTACAGCTCTGCTAAATCCTACAAAGATACAGCTGCTTACTTTGGAACTTGTTTTCTAAAAACCCTAGAGCCCCATATCAGACACATGTGCAAGTGGTAGAGTCTGCAACCAAATCTAGATCTGAATTCCATACTTTGAGCATTAAAAAAGAGGAAGGCAGTTATCAGGTTTGCTATCAATAAATGCTTCTCCTTCACTTTCACTAAATGCCCGGTTTTATTTCATTAAACATGCTCACAAACCCTGCTTCTTAGAGCTCAGTGGATTTAAACATACAAATCCAATAGGTTGCTTTCAAACTGTACTCTCAAACTTGTATTTGTTTGATCAGAAAGTGCCAGAGATCAGCTGGTATGAAATCACAACACACATCCATGAAACACAGACAGTAATGGTGGTGGAAAGAGAGAAACAGTTCATTGAACTTCCTTTTAAAATGTATACATACTTCTGGTCTCTGATCTAATTTCTGCTTTATTTTTCTTAATACATGAAGGGTTACATTACAAGTGTTATATGTCTCTGATCTGATTGCAGCAATTACCCATTTGCGTCTCTGGAAAGTGAAATTATTTCCAGCGTTATCAAACAAAGGAACTTTCTGTCCATTCGCTCAGGCCCACGACAGTGCTCTATTTGATGCTTTTAATGTACAACACAAATGACCAAAAAATGGCCTGTATTATGCTAGTTGTGCAGGGGGAAGAGCTGTGTTCCATTAGTGATCCACAAACTTCACAGAAACTAATTGTACTATGTTACACTTTTATCTTTAGCTTTCATGTCAGATGCTTGTTTGAATTAAACATGGAACACATGAAAAAAGGAAATGCATTACAAAATCTGCTGGGTATACATCTCTGCCAAAAGTCTATTTACATGAAAAGACCAAAAGGTTTCTAAAAGGTCTGTTAAAGCTTGGCTAGTCAACAGCAGCATTGGCTAGTTAATTGCCTGAAATTCCTGGCAGACTACAAAGACTACTTAAGGAATCATCAGCATCTTTCTAGCACCCATAAAATGTTCAATTTGTGCTCTTTGTCATGGATAGAGAACCCCAAAATAAAATCTCAGGATATTTTTCCCTCTTTAGTTTGAAGCCACCATTAAGAACCAATAAAAATGTTCAGCTGAACTCTGCATTTCACCACCTGCCACTTTGAACTCCAGAAGGGAGCAGTCTCCCAGTTTTAAGGAAATTAACTGCAATACAGATGTACAGGCAGAAGAGAGCAAGACAGAACAATTCTGGAATTACATGAGACTAACACAGACAAGTTGCCAGACTGTCAATTTTTTGCAGCTCAAGCAGTCATAAACCATGGCCCATAGGCAATAGTAATTGTTGTACAGCTGGTCCACTGAACCGTATTATATTAAAACATTAAAACCTTCAGATTCATGAGGCTTTTCAGAACATCCACAAGAAAGTTCATGAGTTCACAGCCATCAGCTGGTGCTAAAGATTGGGAATTAGTGATTTGGTCTACAAAGATTGGGAATTAGTGATTTGGTATACAGCACCATGGCTGTATACAGCTACTCTTAGGTGTTGAGGAAGTACAGCTACAAATAAGTCTGACTTTAAGTCCTAAGCTTTACAAATCTGTAGTGAAATAAGATCTAAACTTCTAGTAAGACCTTTTTTACATCAATAGAAACATAAAACCTATTGTACTACCAACAGCATCAAGAGTATGTTAGTGGACTTAAAAAACCCAACATAACAAACACAAAACTCCAACAACAAAAATTTCAATACAATCTTCCCCACCTTCAACACCACCAAGCACCTCCTGGAACGGCCTTACAAACACACTTCAGGAAATTCCCCTGAGCTTGTGGAACCACTGGCATACATCCTGCTATGGCTCAGAGTGTTAACACCTATTCTAACAGTTTCATGAGCAAAAATGGAAAGAGAGATCTGGAAAGAGAGATACTATTTGTGATTCCCAGCAATCAAAATAGTTTTAAAAAGGCCTTCATTTAAAGTGATGGATGAGAAGTAGTGAATCTCTGCTCCAATTTTCCAAAAGAGATTGGGACTGGCAGCTTAATACCAAGATAATGTATCCAATATGCAACCCAGTCTATTTCTCTTCCCATTGAAAATAAAAAGGTTGACGTGCATGCATGCACAGAGGCAAACATTCCCTCCCACGGATTCAGGTTTTATGGCCTGTCATGGGTAAAAGCAACTTCAGTTTAATGAGGGAATTCCTTTTAAAGCTGTTCTCTATGCCTCTAACCGGTAATGACTGGTGGCTGGTTGGGTTTGAAGTCTGAATGTGTCTGATGCTCTAAAAAGTTTAGTGGTCTCTGCACCAAAGAGTTTATTGTCTAATTTGTAGTTCACACTGCTAAATATTGCAGGAAACAGGTATTATTTGTAGGCATGCATGTAAAATCTGAACCATACAGGGATAAATCTTCATATGGAGCAAATTCCTACATGGTGCTGGACAGTACCCAAGTATATTTCTGAGTTTAGTCCACGGCCAAAGTAGCTCTTAAGGATGGAAGCA